CCCCGCCCCCCCGCTCCGGGCTTCCCACTTCCTTGTTGGGTGCACCGGGAAATGCGAACAGAACGTTGCCACGTATCGTTTATTGCTTTGTCATGCATTTGTTTGACTTCATCGTCGTTTTGGGCGTTTTACAATTTCTGTACTCTTGCTGAGAGCCTCGACCACCGACCTACTGGGATCAGTACTACTATTATTGTCGCGANTATATATACATATATATATGAAATATTTTACCAAGACCATCAGGTCACGTTTGCAGCGGTTAGTAGCATCTAACCCACTTACAAAACATCGAATCATAGCATTGATTTTTCATTGGACTGGTTCTGAAAGAGCTGTCTATCCAATGGTTACTCGGTGTTGCAAACAAGGTTATTGTGAGGAATATATATATATATATTTATATATATATATAAGAACTCGAATCACAACAGGTTAAGTGACTAACTGTTCTCCTGTATTGCTTCTGAATATCTGTCAGTTGTGGTGGACTGCGGTATTTGTCGTCATGTACCACTGCATAAACTTCTATACTCGGATCGGATTACTACCTCCGTGTGTTCTTTGGCTCTCGTCCACTCTACGAAACAGTTTCCTCCGTGGTCTAAGGTCCGAGCCTCGTCGCCGCCACCCAACTTGATGATAGGCAGTTTTGTGGTTGTCCCGTTCAGTGCCACGCCTGCCTTAGCGGGGCCTTATGTGGTTTGCCACTCCAAATACTGCGATCCCTAGGTTGGCGAGTTCCATCACTGAACAGCAGCTCCTCGTGACTATTGTTTCCAACCCGTCGGCTGTTCATCACACGAAATATGCGTAATGAAAAAAAAAACACTAGAAACCGAGGCGGGTTGTCTGTTTTCGTATTTTTATTCAAGTTTGTACAAATCATATCACATTTAAACGGTCAGCTACTGTTGAAAAAAAAACGAATTGTGCACCAGTGTGCGGATCGAAATGTCGGCGGATGACGGTCTCGTGATATCTGTCGTACCGTCATAACTATAGCATCGAGTAAAAACGTTTGTTCCGTCACAAAACTGCGGCACCAGTTCCGTTCAACCCACACACACGCAATATCTTCCGCGAATTCGTTACCAAGCATTGCAAGCGTTCTTCACATTGGCTTACACCAACAAGATTTTCGGTCTGTTTTCTTTACATCGCCTCGCTCGCCCTTCCAAGGTTGCAGCAGCATACACAGGATTGAAACACTTCTGGTGCGGACGCGACGTTTCAATGAACTTGATACGTCGTGTATATTGTGCTACCATTCATTCCATTACGCTAAACTGTTGTGCGATCTTGAATTGTCAAGTAGAAGATATAAATCGACAAGAGGTTTTCGAGTATCGGTGTTTACGTAGTTTAGCCCACATGGAACCGAAGGGACGGGCTAGTAATGTGGAGGTAAGCCGTCATATGTTCGGAAGTCTATTAAGTATAAGCATGTTAGCCCATCGAATTCCGATTAGTAGACTTCGCTGGCCAGGACACGTATTGCGTATGCCCAGCTACCGTCCGCCACAGCGCGCTTTATCCACTGAAATCTAATCCGGGCTGAAGGGAATCACATGGAAGTCAACAGATAACGTGAAAACGAAGCATGAAGAAA